AAACATCTTTCTTTTATAATAGATTGGCTCAACTCAGGCACTCAACATATTGTATTTAGAGGTGGTTTTTCGTCTCTAACAGTTTCGCCCCCCCCCCTTTTCATGCCATTTATGTTTTCTGGTTTTTTATACAAAGCTCATTTTCCCCGTGGAAGTCCCCACGTTCTGGATTCGGCTTACTGCATCCTCATGACTCTTCCAGCATGTTCCTGTCTCTCCTATATTTCCTGTAAATTGATAGTAATAGCTTTTTTTTTCCATTTTAAAAAATCAAAGTTGATTTACAATGCTGTGTTAGTTTCAGGTGTAGAGAGAAGTGATTCAGTTATATACATATAGAATACATATAATATATGTAGTTTTCGTATTCATTTCCATTATGGTTTATTACAGGATATTGAATATAGTTCCCTGTGCTATATTGTAGGTCCTTGTTGATTATCTATTTCATATACAGTAGTGTGTGCATGTTAATCCCAAACTCCTAATTTATCCCTCCCCCCCTTTCCCCTTTGGCAACCACAGGTCTGTTCTCTATGCCTGTGAGTCTGTTTCTGTTTCTTAGACAAGTTCATTCGTGTCCTACTCTAGATTCCTCATATAAGTGTGATATCACATGGTATTTATCTTTCTCTGGCTGACTTCACTTAGTGTGCTCATCTCCAGGTCCATCCATGTTGCTTCAAGTGGCATTATTTCATTCTTTTTCTGGATGAGCGGTAGTAACATCTTGGGGCTTGATTCTCTGCTTTCTGGAACCCACCTCGGTCTCGCATTCACCCTCCCACCATCTAAGACTGTGTGTGGTCAGGCTCCTTGATGGCCCACATCGCTACGACAGACGGAATGGCCTGTTCTCAGGCCCCTCTTCCCGCTCCAACGGCAGTGTGGGAACTTGTCACTGTGCCCCCTGGGTGACCTCCTTTGTCTGGCTCGCAGGACTCCATCCTTGGGTTCTGCTCTTAGCCTCGCTTGTTGCTCCTTCCCCGTCTGTTCTGTGGCTCCTCTGACCACTCCTACCTCTACGTGTTGGTGCACTGGAGGATGCTTTTCCATTTCCCCTGTCTACATGCACTAACTTGATGCTCTCATCCAGCCAGTTCTCAGGCTTTGCTGACCATTTTACATGTGCTGACTTCCTAATTGTAGAGCTTCGGCCTGGGTCCCTCCCGCAAACCCCAAATTCCCATAGCCAGCTGTTGAGCTGGTACTTCCATTTGCGTGTCTAATGAGCACCTCCATGTGGTCCTGCCTGTGATTGGACACCTGAGCTCCTTCCCAGTCTGCTCCCCCTTAGACTCCTTCATCACAGTTCATAGAAGGTCACCCTTCCAGTTTTTCAGGTCCGAAATCTCAGAGTCATTCTAGACTCTTTCTCTCAACCCCACGTAGAATCTGTCATAAATCCGAGTGACTACTTTCACAACACACCCACAGTCTGGATATTTCCCACCACCTCTGCTGCTGTCATCTTGAGGCCACCCGTTGTCATCTCGCGCCTCACCCCATCGCTCCTAACTGCTCCATCCCGCTCCCTGTTCTTAGCACAGCAGTTAGGGTGAGCTTTCAAAAGTGCAGGTCACCACCTCACTCCGGTAAGCATGGCCATCATCACAAAGTCTACAAACAGCAGATGCTGGAGAGGGTGTGGAGAAAAGGGAACATCCTTCCTCCTGCACTGCTGGTGGGAATGTAAATTGGTGCAGCCACTACGGAGAACAGTATGGAGGTTCCTTAAAAAACTAAAAATAGAGTTACCATATGATCCAGCAATCCCACTCCTGGGCATATATCTGGACAAAACTGTAATTCAAAAAGATACATGCACCCCAGCGTTCACAGCAGCACTACTTGCAATAAGCAAGATATAGAAGCAACCTAAGTGTCCATCAACAGAAGAATGGATAAAAAAGATGTGGTACATATATACAATGGAATATTAGCCATAAAAAAGAATGAAATAATGTCATTTGCAGCAATATGGATGGACCTAGAGATTATCATACTAAGTGAAGTAAGTCACACGAAGAGAAATATCATATGATATCACTTATATGTGGAATCTAAAAAAAGATACAAATGAACTTATTTACAAAACAAACAGACCCACAAGCATAGATAACAATCTTATGGTTACCAAAGGGGAAGGGGGAGAGGGATAAACTGGGAATTTGGGATTAACGGATACACACCGCTATATATAAAATAAATAAACAACAAGGACCTACTCTACAGCACAGGGAACTATGCTCAATACCTTGTAATAACCTATAACAGAAAAGAATCTGAAAAAGAATATATATGTATATATTCAGATGTGTATACATATGTGTGTATGTGTGTTTCTGTCCTGCTCCCCCAAAACTTCTCTGTCATCTCCCGCATGGTCTCCCCCTTGCTCTCCCGACTCTGGCCACACTGGCCCTCCTGCTGTCCCACCACCCGCCTGCCTCTCCCTCCCCGTCCCTCTTCCTACCACCCCTGCCCCCCTCCACTCATCTTAGCTTTAGGTGCTCTGACTGGGCTGGTCTTCCCACTGCATCAGCGCAGCTCACTCCCTCACTTCCTTCAGACTTTGCCTTTCCATCGAATCCTTTCCTGACTACCCTCTTCAAACTTCCATTCCCCTAGAAGTAGAATTGGTGGGTCAAAGAGCATAAGCATTTGAGTTTTCATAAATCCGAAATCTGACCAAATTACTGTCACCAGCATGAGCATACAAGTTTCCCCTAGAGCCTGGCCAATTGAGGCTGTTAACAGCTTTTGAATTCTTGAGACAGTGTAGTTTAATTTGCCTTTCTTTTCTCACGTGAGTTTGAACATGAGTTTAAGAGCCATTTCTGGCAGTCTGTATCTCTTCTTTGGAGAAACGTCTATTTAGGTCTTCTGCCCATTTTTGGATTGGGTTGTTTGATATTGAGCCACATGAGCTGCTTGTATATTTTGGACATTAATCCTTTGTCAGTTGCTTCATTTGCAAAGATTTTCTCCCATTCTGAGGGTTGTCTTTTCATCTTGTTTATGGTTTCCTTTGCTGTGCAAAAGCATTTAGGTTTCATTAGGTCCAATTTGTTTATTTTTTATTTCCATTATTCTAGGAGGTGGGTCAAAAAAGATCTTGCTGTGATTTATGTCAAAGAGTGTTCTGCCTATGTTTTCCTCTAAGAGTTTTATAGTGTCTGGCCTTACACATGAAAAGATGTTCAACATCACTAATCATTAGAGAAATGCAAATCAAAACCACAATGAGGTACCTATCACCTCACACTGGTCAGAATGGCCATCATCAAAAAATCAACAAACAATAAACGCTGGAGAGGCATTTATTGGAGAAAAGGGAAGCCTCTTGCACTGTTGGTGGGAATGTAAATTGATACACCCACTGTGGAGAATAGTATGAAAGTTTCTTAAAAAAACAAAAATAGAACTACCACATGACCCAGCAATCCCACTGCTGGGTATATACCCTGAGAAAACCGTAATTCAAAAAGCTACATGTACCACAGTGTTCACTGCAGCACTATTTACAGTTGCCAGGACATGGAAGCAACCTAAGTGTCCATTGACAGATGAATGGATAAAGGAGATGTGGCACATATACAATGGAATATTACTCAGCCATAAAAAGAAACGAAATTGAGTTATTTGTAGTGAGGTGGATGGACCCAGAGTCTGTCATACAGAAAGAAGTCAGTCAGAAAGAGAAAAACAAATACCGTATGCTAACACATATATATGGAATCTAAGAAAACAGTACTGATGAACCTAGTGGCAGGGCAGGAATAAAGACACACATGTAGAGAACGGACTTGAGGACACAGCGGGGGATTGGGAAGCTGGGATGAAGTGAGAGGGTGGCATGGACACATACACACTACCAAATGTAAAATAGATAGCTAGTGGGAAGCAGCCGCATAGCACGGTGAGATCAGCTCCGTGCTCTGTGACCACCTAGAGGGGTGGGATGGTGGGGTGGGAGGGAGGCTCAAGAGGGAGGGGATATGGGGATATATGTATATGTGTAACTGATTCACTTTGCTATACAGTAGAAACTAACACAACAATGTAAAGCAATTATACTTCAATAAAGATATTAAAAATAAATGAAAATAAAATACAAATGCTACTACATTAAAAAAAGGAGCCATTTATATTCCCATTTCTGAAAGCTGTAAGTTCATATTCCTCAGCCACTTTTCTAAGGATGTTGGTCTTCTCATTTACTTTGTAGCAGCTCTTTGTGAACTACAGAAGTAAGTACTTGCCTGTGATAATAGTTGGAACTGCCAACTACAAACTGGCACTTGCCAGCTCCCTCTACAAGGATTAAATCATGAGGCGCTGCAGCTGCTGACCTTCAACACCCCCTAAAAGGAGTTCAGGCTGGAGATCAGGAATGAGGCCCTCTGTGCTCTGGGAGAAACTGGCAGAACAGGTCTTCAGATAGTTAGATATTTTCAGGAGAAGATTTTATGAACCCAGTTTCTTGCATCTTCTCATACCTAGAAAAGCACTAAAATCCTTCATGGTGACATCTGCTCCTCGAGAGTAGCAGCAAACTTCTGCCAAAATGTGTGCTTGATTGCACGTCCCCCCTTCACTAGAGTCACGTACATACTGACCTCCCCCCTCCCCTCGCCTCTTTGGAGCATTTTCTCAGAGCTCTCTGAAATGCTGTCTCTCAGGCCCTAGTCCTCCTTTTGCCCCAAATAAAACTTAACTCACAACTCTCACATTGTGCATTTTTTTTTCAGTCTACAGAATAAAATGTTCCCAGCTTGTCATCTTTGACTTTATGATTTTTCTATGCAGAAGTTTTAAAAATTGGAAGTCTATTTCATTAATATTTTCTTTTATGGGTTCTGAGTATTGTGTCATACTATAAAATCCCTCTCCCATCTGAGATAACTTTTTTTCTTTTCCATTTAAATCTTTTATGCATCTGGAATTCATTTTGGTACAAGATGTGCGTTACATGTCCGACTTTATTGCTTTTACAGATGGTCCCCCATTTGCCCCGCACCGTTTGGTGAATGCTCCATGTTTTCTCCGTCGACATGAAACGCCTCCCAGGAGATTCTTGGGCAGACTTCATGGCTTCTGAGCTGAGCTTGTGGTGACAGTGGTTCCTCTTTGTGAAACCTCTCCAGGCAGGCAGAGACCTCAAACACGCCACTGAGAGCTGCAAACAAGTCCAACCTGCACCAGTACCGGCGTAGGTGAGGTCTCCAAATTGCAGCCTGGAATGATGTGAGTGCATGATTCCCATCTAGTTGGTTTCTCCACTCCACATACCGTCTCTCCAGTAAAGTCAGGAGGTGACAGGGAATAGTCACATGGTTTTGGTTGTTTGTTTTGCAGACTTTACTCCGTCAACATGTGAGGAAGACCTGAACTTAATATTTGCAAAGCACTTGGAACTATGGAGAAGAAAGGTGCTATGTAATCCTCGTGTTATCTTTTAGATTTTGAGCATGTTACTGTGACATCAGCATCCTAGGCTTAATGAAGTTTTATTTCAGCTAATATAAGTTCATCCTTCTGTGTTCAACTAGCTGTGAAACCAAGCCACTGGGTGTGGATTATGAGGGCTGAAGCTTTGGGGAGTGCGGTGAAATTTTTCAGAATTCGTGATAGCATATAAGACCACTGAAGCCGGTTTACCTGCCTTCTATCTACAAGGATGCTTTTTAAACTAGGACACACGTCTATTGTTCAGTGATAATTATAGTGATAATGCTGACACCAAGATACTGCAAAATCCTGCTGCACCTTTTGAATTAAGTTCTGAATCATCAAAAATAATTATAATATAATTTAAGTTTCAAGACAATTTGGCTGTGTTCCTTAATGGTTAGGAGTTTTGTTTAAGACACAGACAAGGGTGAATTTAATCTTGATTCTTCCACCTTTTATCTGAGTAACTTTGAGCAAGTATCCCAACTTCTGTAAGCTTTAATTTCTCATATAGAAAATGGTAATGATAATAGTACTTATTGTTATAGGGACTAATAAGAAAATCCATTTAAAGCAAAATAAGGCACTTCCTGTCTGACTGGCAAAGATCAAAAAGATCAATAACACCTCTGGAGGTGACCGTCTGGTGGAGACAGGTATACTGCTCAAGGGGGTGTATATCGATATAGCTACCACATAAAACAGTTTACAGTATCTATCAATATCTATCAAATGCACACACATACCTCTACCAGCACTTCCTCTAGCTGGAATTTATTGAACAGATGTACTTGTAAATGAGCAAACTGATAACTGTAGCAGATATTTATTGCAGTGCTGTTATAGTAAGAATAGAGTGGAAAAAGCCTAAATATCCATCTCTAAGCGTTTGTTCTGATGGACTCATGCAATCACATACCATGCTGTAATAAAGAGCAAGGAAATGTTTATGCCATCGAATGAGATGTTACCAGGATATACTGCTAATCAGAAGCAGCAAGGTGTAAACAGTGTGTAAAAAACAGGAGATGGAAATATATATATATAGATATATAGATATATATATATATGTCTGTATAATCACAGAAAAGCTCAAGAAAAACACTTAAGAAAATGGTAGCATTGATTTCCCCTAAAGCTGGAATTTCCTGGTGGAAATTTTTGAAGTATTTCTTCAGTGGCCAGAAAGCTTTTCACTCTATACCTTTTTCATTTTTTTTTTTTTTTTTTTTTTGCGGTACGCGGGCCTCTCACTGCTGTGGCCTCTCCCGTTGCGGAGCACAGGCTCTGGACGCGCAGGCTCAGCGGCCATGGCCCACGGGCCCAGCCACTCCGCGGCACGTGGGATTTTTCCCGGACCGGGGCACGAACCCGTGTCTCCCGCATCGGCAGGCGGACTCTCAACCACTGCGCCACCAGGGAAGCCCCTTTTTCATTTTTTGATTATATTCTTTGAACATGTAAATTATTTCTTAAAAAGCAAATTGATATAAAGTATATAGAACACTGGTGACACATCAGCATGCAATACGTATTAGTGCTTATTTAAAATTTCAGTTTAATGGTAATTGATTATCTTCCACTAAAAGATATGTAGAGAATTTAAAAAATCAGCTGTTTAAAAATTAAATACTATAAATTTTATAATATACAAATAATTTTAAACAATAATATTTGCCTTACTATAAATTATAAAGGCATTTCTTTTAGCCCACGCAGTCCCACAATCTGGGTCTGTTACCATTTACATTTCTCATAAATGGTGTTAAAAGACCTGGCAATTTTATTTTATTTTACTTTCTTCGAAATCACCACCAATGCATTTATTTGAGGGAAAAAGGGTCAAATCTTATTAGGAACTTCCAACTGGATAGGACTAGAGACACTGATCTACCTAATATCTGGGTGTTCACAGCCGCACAAGTAACCATATCCTGCACGTGAGGCATCACCACGAAACCGACGAGCATTTGACAAGGGGGACACATTCTGAGCAGTCACACGGTTTCCATTTAGAAGGTGCTTCCTTATCAGAAAAGCAGTGTTGAGAAAAACGAAGACAGCCTCCTAGCAAAGGCCTGGACATGACGGTGGCTCCTGAAAAGGGATCACACCCTATTTACAAAGCTGGAGAGCAGAGCTCCCAGCTGAGCTGCAGGATAAGAGGGGGGCTGACCTGAGGGCTGTGAATGGGGGCTGGGATCTGACCTCACGAGCCTTTGCTCATCCAACCTCAGGCTCCACGAGCCATTCTCTGGCCCCCTGCAGGAGGCAGACTCGGGAAATCTGCAAAGCCAGGGGATTCTGCCCCACCTTCCCCAGGCCTAACAGTGACCAATTCACTGGACGCAGTCTCATGCCACCCAGCCCCTGCATGGCACCTACGGAAACTGAAGCCCAGCTGGCCTGGAGCACATCTAGGTCTTGCTGGGCTGGTCATCTTACACGTGTCCCACGATGGTCGGCCTCACCCACGGTGTCCTGGCCGAGACAGTGTGCTTTTTTAGGTGATCCAGGTTACTCCAGGGCAAGGTATGATCCTGATGACACCCGGCAGAGGAGGCTGGAGCTTCGGAAGAACTGGCCCTGCACACTCGGGTCCTTCCAGCAGCGGATCCGGATTCGAACACTGAGGAGTGAGGCGGCGGCCCAGCCTGCAGGTGTTCACAGCCATGAGACCGCCCACCAGCAGGAAGGGGTAGGTCAGTACGCTCACTGCCATCCCCATCACATATCTGGGGTGGCTCTGGATGGCTAGGGCCTGGCTGAACTGGGAACCTGGATTCTGGTCGTTCCCCAGCCCCCCTGGAGTGTCACCCACCAGGTAGGCACTGAGGAAGCGGGCCAGCAGGTTACAGCCCCGCAAGGAAACCACACCTTCCAGGAGGTGAGGGATCAAGCCGACAAAGAATCCCAGCAGCCCCTCTTCTGTGAAAATCTTCCCAATGGAGCTCAACTTTCCACTGTACTTGGCCTTCCTCCCATGAACTGGACCACGCAGTGCACTGAGATGACACGCAGCGGGTGGGCCAGCACGTGGGACATGCCTTGCATCATCATCATCAGGTAGGAGGTCTCCTTCACCACCGTCGTCAGAGACGTCTTCGTGCCAGGCTTGACGGAAACCTGCTCCGTCTCCTCCGGAGGGAGAACCTTCTTCACGGCGCCTGGGTCATGGTGCAGAGGGCGGTCGACGCCAGCCAGGGGCTCAGGCCTCGGCACAGCACTAGCTTCCCACCCACCGCGCAGTGTCCTCGGCTTGGGTGGAGACGCTCGGTGGGGAGAGGACTTCCTCTCCGGCACGCCAGTCCCAGTGGTGGGGGGCGGGCAGCGGTTCGCGACCCCGTAGGATGAGCAGCTTCGCTAGAGCAGCGGCTGTTTGAGCACCGTCACTCCCGTGTGCAGCCCAACGGAAAGAGCCTTGGCGGCCAGCACCATCTCTGGGCCCCAGGCCCGCGGTTCCCAGAGCCCGACCCCGCCTGCTGCCACTCCGCCCGGCTTGGCTCCGGGTCCGGTTCCACCTTTCCCCAACACTGATGTCCGGTAAGTTAAAAAATCTACTAAGTGTCTGTGGACAGAGGAATGGATGAAGAGGCTGTGGCACATATACACGATGGAATACGATTCGGCCGTAAAAAAGAACGAAATAAGGCCATGTGCAGCACCATGGATGCACCTAGACACTGTCATACTGAGCGAAGTACATCAGACAGAGAAAGACAAATATCATATGGTATCGCTTATAAGTGTAATCTAAAACAAATGATACAAACGAATTTATTTACAAAATAGAAATAGAGCCACAGATGCAGAAAACAAGCTTATGGTTATGGAATAAGGGTGGGGAGGGATAAACTGGGAGATTGGGACTGTTACGGACACACTGTATACATAAAATAGGGAACTAATAAGGACCTGCTGTAGAGCACAGGAAACTCTACTCAATCCTTTGTAATGACCTCTATGGGAAAAGAATCTAGAAAAGAGTGATCTATGTATACGTAAAACTGATTCACTGTGCTATACACCTGAAACTAACACAACACTGTAAATCAATTATACTCAAATAAAAATTAATTATAAAAAAAATTCTACTTAGGCAAACAACATGACTAGAAGGAAACGTTTTCCATATACAAATGAAAATGTCTCATGAGTTAGTCTTTGAGCAATTGAAAGTTTTGGGTAGATAATATGTGTCATTTAAGCATCTCTCAAACATTCTTAGATTTTGAATAAGGAATGAAAACACTGAACGTACTCTAGAATTAATAGTCGAGTTTTGCTTACAGTTCTGAGTTTGGAGCAAATCTGGATGAACTGTGAATACATGGAGAGTTCTTTTTCTATTTGACTTTCATGTATTTACACCATCAGGATGCACACTACCTTTTTCCTCAATAAACTGAGAATCTAGGTCTCATTCTTATCAGATGTTCTACCATTAACATTCCATCTTGTTCTCCCCCATACTTTGGGAATAACAGCTTTTCTTTCACTGGTTTTTAATTTTTAATTTCTTAAACAGTTTTTAGGCCATGCTATATGTATAATATTAACAGGTGTCTGCTGGTGAAGTATTTTCTGGAATTTAAGAAGACTTAGATCAAGTGGTGTCTCCCCTATAAAATTGTTAGAGATCTCCAAAGCTGAATCTCCCATTCTTTTCCCACATCTTGAGTATTATACATGTTATTATGTATACGCATTATTATACACAAATTATACATATTATACATATATTATAATGATTTGTCTCTTGTAAAACAGTGAACTCCTTAAAAACAGCAAGTCTATTTCTCCTTATAACTATATGTCAGGCCTGGCAGGTATTAGGTACTCAGTTATGTCAGCTGAATAAAGACAGTTTTTCTCAGTAGATGTTATACTACTAATGGAAATACTTCAGCAAGTATTATCACTTTATCATATCTGAGTATTTTCCTAGATATAAAAGTAAACTGAAATGAACAGAGTCCTCATCCAGCATGTCTCAAGAATCTGAGTACAGAGGAATTCTGTTTTCCTAGATCCCATTCCAATTCAACCGTGTACTAAATAATTATGATCTAAATTCTCCATTTGAAGCTTAAAAGATTTATTTACTTATTTATTTAAATTTTATTTATTTATTTTTGGCTGCATCGGATCTTCGTTAATGTGTGTGGGCTTTCTCTAGTTGCGGTAAGCAGGGGCTACTCTCTGTTGCAGTGCGCAGGCTTCTCATTGTGGTGGCTTCTCTTGTTGCGGAGCACGGGCCCTAGGTGCGTGGGCTTCAGTAGTTGTGGAACGTGGGCTCAGTAACTGTAGCTCACAGGCTCAGTAGTTGTGGCTCGTGGGCTCTAGAACGCAGGCTCAGTAGTTGTGGCACACGGGCTTAGTCGCTCCGTGGCATATGGAATCTTCCTGGACCAGGGCTCAAACCCGTGTTCCCTGCATTGGCAGGAGGATTCTTAACCACTGCGCCACCAGGGAAGTCCAAGATTTGTTATTTTTTAATGACCTGAACACACAGCCTCCTTCCAACAGCATGGTCCAGTGGTCACTTTTAAGGGAATACTCAAGAAGCAGCTGAACCGGCTGGCTAATTTTTTCTCAAAAGCAACAATGATAAAACTATCATCACTAATGATAAAAACAAAACCGTTTTATTGGTAGATGTTCCCAAACATCGAGATAGAGAAAGAGCAATGCTCTTGCTGACCTAGCCAGCATGTTTCACGGCCTGCCAGCTCTGACAACATAGCCTTGGGACATATTCTTTAGCTTCTTCTACCTGGTTTCCTCCTCTGTGAAAAAGGATTCAAACACCAGCCTCACCGCTTTTACAGTCAAGGTTGACTTTTTTTTTTTGGATGATGCTTTGTAGTACAGATTTCTGGGGCAACCAGCAGAGTTCCAGGACTTAAATAGATCCATTGTTGCGATTTGAGGAAAGCCATAACCCTCTCTGAAACCTTTCTTCTTAGCAAGGTGAGATATTCCTTTCTGTGGGCAAAAATACAAGCTCATTTCTCTGCTTCACACTGGTCTGCTATCCAGGGCACTCGAATGACTCTCCTATCAACAGCACAGAAATCCTTCATTTCACATTGTCACTTGTCATCTCAATGATGGAGCCACAATTCAGAGCCTGTTAAAAGCCTAGCTGATACCACATAACCATCAGCAGGAATTGCAAAAAGAACATGATAAGCACTAAGCCCTGGTTTCGCTAAACATAGCCATCCTTCGAATTTGAATTCTAGAAATCTATACCCCTCAATAGACAGTACTATTCTGGCCACCTGTAAAAATGACTTAACAATATGTTCCTTTGTATACTTTTTTTTTTTTTTTGGCGGTACGTGGGCCTCTCCCATTGCGGAGCACAGGCTCCAGACACACAGGCTCAGCAGCTATGGCTCACAGGCCCAGCCGCTCCGCAGCATGTGGGATCTTCCCGGACCGGGGCACAAACCCGTGCGAACCCGTGTCCCCTGCATCGGCAGGCGGACTCCCAACCACTGTGCCACGAGGGAAGCCCCTGTATACTTGTTTTTGAGGGTCAATACAAGAAAAAGCCTTGGGGAGTAGTAGAGTCTGTGTTTTGGTATCATCAGGAACGCCATCCATCATGTTATTTAATGCTCCTCTTATAAACTAAGGGGGAACCTAGAGATGGCAGACCCATCAATGACAATTCCATCTCAGTGTGAAAGCTCCTGAACAGGAGGGAGGTGGCTTTGAGAATGTTATAAAGAGAAACGGACAGATTGTGACAATGAACATTTCTGAGGACCGGCTGCCTGCCAGACGCTTTCTGCTTCTGCAGAGTGAGAGCTTAAATATTTCTAGCCCATGATACTTGTTAAAAAATAGAGAAGGTACGACACGAGGAGAACGTAATTTGAGTGTGGGGACTTGCAGATGAGAGTTCAGTTTTGGACACAACAACTTTGGTGGGATGTGGTATAGGAAAGAGGACTCAAAACCTTCCATGTGACAACTCACCTTTTTGAACTTCAGACTGTCACCACCAGCCATCAGTGTTGATCTACAATGGTTGACATGGACGCTAGGATGCAGACGATGCTTACAAGGCATGTGAAAGCATCAGGCACACAGCAGATATTCAGCAATGTTAGTTCTTTTAATTCCCACAAACCATTCTGCCAAAGGAACTGGATCATGCTGTGGGAAAAAAAACCCTCTTTTTCCAAAGACGTTTAAATGTTTACAGGAATTCTATACTGTACTTATCATTTTCAGTAAGTTTAAGGACATTAAAACTAATGTTAAGATTATTGGGAATAAATGTTACTACCATGAATTATTCCACTAGAGATGTAATACCATTGATTATTAATGCCAGAGCGAGGTCATCAGAGACCTCCGTGGTCACTATATTCAGTGGATGTTTTCAGTCCTCTTTTTACTTGACCTCCCACATTTACCTGTCAACCTGTTTTTCACTTTCTCCTTGAAACATTCTTTCTTTCCATGATACCGCATTGGTTTTTTTTGGCTGCGCTGCACAGCTTGTGGGATCTTAGTTCCCCGACCAGGGACTGAACCCAGGCTCTTGGCAGTGACAGTGTGGAGTGCTAACCACTGGACTGCCAGGGAGCTCCCAGACACCACATTCTTTCCTTGCTGTGTTTCCGACTTTTCTTCTCTGCCTTCATTTCAGACATATCCTTCTCTCCTGGGCCTTTAAATGCTGTGGTTCCTCAAGGCTCTGCCCTGGGACCTCTTCTCTACTCACCCTCTGCTCTGTTCCCCCCGAAATCACACCTGTCCCCATGAAATTGTCACCCGTATACTAATGACCCCTAAATTTCCATCTTGATCTTAGACCTCCCCCATGATATATCCAATTAACTATTCAACATCCCCACTCGAATGTCTCAAGGGTACCTCAAACTCAACGTATCCAAGACCAGACTTAGGATATTCCACTCAAATATTATCTTCTTCCAGTTTCCCACCATAAATCGCAAATAGCCTTCCCATATCCAGGTGTAGTCTGTCCCTCATCCATTCTCTGTCACATCCCATATCCAATCCATTGCTTGGAACTGTTGATTTCACACCTCCCTCCCCATTTGGCTTTCTCATCTATCAATTTTTATCCATCTTTACTATCAGCATCGTTGCACAAGCTAGAGTCACCTCTCACCACTACTAAGTGGTGCACAGCCCTCCTTCCATCTGTTGTGGCTCCTTTGATTTTGTTCTCCATGCTAGAACCGGAGTAATCTTTAAAAATGCAAATCTTTTAATGTTAACCCTGCTAAAAATCCTACGTTGCCTCTTTAGAGATAATCCTAAATCCTCAACATATCACAAAAGTCTCTGTCAATCAAAAGGTCCTAACAGACCTTCTCTATATGGATGCTTCTACTTAGGGTAACCCTTCAGTCAGTCACCAGGATTTGTTACTTGCATGTCTATTAGTTTCTTTTGCCTTCAATCTCTGCCCCGAATTAGGGAAATTCATGGAGATGCTAGAAGACTGGCACCAACTCTCTAATCTCTCTGCGAAGTGATTAGGAGGAAATTTTATTATTGTTTTCTTTTTCTATGGAAAAGTGTTTTATTTGCCTCGGTTCACATTCTATAGATAATGACTTACAAAAGGTATAGAAGCCTAAACTGTTTAAGATGCCAGGTCAAAGCCAAGTTATAGAAGGATAAACCAAGTCCAGTGCTGATGTCACAAGGAGCTCGGGGCTCTTTAAATATCTTGGAGTTTCTTACACAGTGTTTAAATCTTATAGGTTTAAAGATACAGTGTCAGGTTCCATCTTTCTAGTACATAGTGAATTGTCTTAGGAGGCCACATCAGGCAACTTTCGTGACCTCGCTAGCACTTATTTGCCTGGTAAGTAAAATAGGATGTTAAGATCACCTATGACACAGTTATGTTGAGGATTAAATAACATTAATTATGTAAAGCACTCAGCATAGAGGCTGGCACACAGCAATGAGCAGTAGGTGTTGGTATTATTTCTGTTTGTGATAATTATAAAATCCATTTTGAGGAAGTCCTTGTAGATGAATGTGAACATTTTTCTTCAGAGAGAAGGAATACTAAGGATTTCAACAATGGTTTTTTGGGTTCACATTAGTGTATCATTGGTTTTGGTCTATCAGAGAAATACACATTTTGCAATGGAAAACAGTTAGAATGAATCTTATTACTCCTCAGGAAAGGAGTAGACACAAACCCTCTTACTGTTGTCACTGTGCACCGGTCATCCAATACCCTTTTTTGTTGCATCCCCTCCAGCTCCTGGAGGATGGATCTTGTCATGGGGGTCCTCAGGCCCAGAGCGCATGGCACCATTTCTGTCTGTGGGATGATTTCTGCTCATGTCAGAGACTCTGCTGTCCCCTGGTGGCATCTGCGGTCTTCCGTTGGTTCAATGTTCCCACCTGGAAGACCTACAATTATCCTTAGAGAGTCACACATCTAGCAGGCAGAGCCTGCGTGCTGCCTTTCCACTCTAATGTTTAACGATTGACCTTGCACTGGAAGCAGCCATTTCTCTGAGCGGCTCAGAGCAGGGGTCCTTACTGAGGACCTTCTCCAACACCTTGCCACCTCATCCACACCAGCGCTCCTTCTAGGAGCAGAGTCATGTTGTCTCCTTAGAGAGCTGCATGTGGACCTCTTCCCCGAGTTCCGACTTTGCTGTCAGAGGCTGACTCTTAACATCTAAGGTCCTGAAGCTTTCTCCCCAGTCCCTGGTGTCCTTTCTGATTTTTTACCTTTGACAGTGGGGTTGGGTGTTACTTCAAACTGGTCTGGGTCCTTATCACAGCCTATTCCCATGTGAAGGTACAAACACAAGTTTATTTTTCTATAACTCACCTTAATTAAGTTCAGTTTTGAACTGCCTCTTCCAAACGGTTGGTGATACCATAATCTCTGCCAATTCCTGGTATCTCCCACCAACCCCGCAGCTGGATCTAAATTTGAGAATGTCTAGTTTGGTGACGAGCGTTTAGGTTGGGAGCCTCTGGTTTCCAATGCCATCTGTCTACATGGGCATCCAGTGAGAAACACAGCATCTTAATGCAGTCATCAGTTTCCCCAGCCTCTGCTGGGCTCAGAGTTCCCTTCTGCAAGCTCCCTTGAAGTGTGGACGTGTCTTTCTTCTTCCACGGCACACCTGGATATACAGGGACACCGTTTTGCTCGCATTCCACGTTAGGGCCCAGAAGGTCTTTAAGAGTCCATCTAGTTGCCACCTACCTACTCACACCAGGCGTCCCATGAGTCCATATTCTCTCTCTGGGCCCACTGCCTTCCTGGGCGGTGCTCAGGTCTCTGGGCACACCTTCCTCCTGCTCTCGGATCTCACAAACCCAAATATGGAGGTCTGCAGTGTCCCAAGGATGGGACTGGGGAGCTTGGTTCAGACTCCCTATCTCGGGGACAGTGGAGACCGGCCCCCACTGCCCCCCTCCTTCTCTCTTGCCTGTACCACTCACAGCCTCCTTGGTCCCCAGCACAGGAGATGGGTTTGTTTTAGTTTCTTCTGCGAGTAGAAAGCCAGGCTCTTACAAAACATGTTTTATCCAAATCTCTTGCTCTGCCAGGAGTCTTTTTTGTTCCTGTAAAGCCAAGCCTTTTGCAACACCAAAGCCAGGAAGGACGCTTTCTTTGCTGTCACATCTTCCCTTAAAGCAATAAGCACAGAATGCCTAGCTGCTCATTTGGGGTGGAGTGATGCACAAAAACATCGAGAGAAGAGGACAGTGGCTGGAGGAGGCAACCTGTTAATATTATCCTGCCACACTTAACGAAGAACAGACAGAAACAGTAATAGGCTCTTCGGAATAATATTCTTCCCTCTCTTGGGATGAAATTGTGTCCTTAGTCTTCAGAGATAGTGCATAGTCTTGGCTCTGTTCTAGCTACACATGGGCAAGACTTCAGAACTCAGAAGCCCTGTCTTAACTAAGTAGACTGACACGTTGTCTTCTAGGAGGATTTATCTTCTCACTGGAGATCAGTTCTGGAGAGGTTTTCAAAGGTATGATTCTGTTATTCGGGTTGGTTCGAGGAATATGACAGTTTATTTAAAGCTGTTACTTTACTGTGAAAACTCTAGACACAGTGAGAGTAACATTTGGATTAGTCTCTTACACCCAAAAACCTGTATAACAGGAAGAATCATGTTCTATTTTCTAAGAATGCAGAGGCAGCCTCAAAGCACCTTTGCAGTTTTAACTTCATTTTAAAATATGCTGATATTAGTAATTATTATAATAAAGTATTGGCTATTTATGGTTAGTAATTGCTTACACTTATTGAGTACTTACTGTGTGTCCGATACTAAAACACCTAGGTAATTCACTTAATCCTCATAAAAGCCTTAAAATATACATATTGTTACCCAGATTTAGATGAGGAAACTGAGGCAGAGAGGCTACGTAATTTGTCCAAAGTCACAGGATAGTATCTATTAGAGATTGAATTTGAACCCCCCAAAGTCTGACAGCCAAGTAGCAGTGCTTAGTTATGCTGCCTAGTTAATCAGGATATTCACCTTGGTAAGAATGGTTATGAGGTTACGGTGTAAAAGTGACAATTTTTGGAATAATAAGCTAGAACCTGCTTTTAAGCTAGTAAATCAGAATAAAAATTTTAATTATTATGTATCCTTTGATATTTGGAGGCAAAGTCAAAGTTACCAGCTTGCAGCCCGGAAATGAGACTGGGTTAGGGAAGAGTTTACTTCAACTGTTATTTATCAAGGGGCCCAGAGGTTATGTGCTGAGCCCTTCTGGATCTTCAGGGAAACAGAACGGATAAACACCATGAAACCGAAGGACATCAACTCATAAGAAATTAACATTTTACAGTAACTGTTTTTCTTTTTTTGGCTGCGCGGCGGCACGTGGGAGCTTAGCTCCCGACCACGGATGGCACCCGCGTCCCCTGCACTGCAAGGCGGATTCTTGACCACTGGACCCCCAGGGAGGCCCCTACACTAATTTTAAGGCGCTGGAATTTGAAAAGGTCAGCGCGAGAAGCTGATGGAGCGGCCCTTCTGGAGTTGTCCATAAAGGCACATGGAGACGAACGCTCTTGCTAACATTTTCTCATAAACATTCTCAAGGCCAGACACCGGGAGAAGCGTCGGGGACAGAAAGAGGAAAAGAAAAGACAATTCTTGCCCGGGGTTCCATTCTAACGGGAGGTGACAAATGAAGCAGGAAGTTAATAAGAAACGAGAACGCTGCGAAGTGCTAAGGACCACACCACCCTTCTCCAGAATTAGGCTGCACGAAGAGGCGAGGGCGTGCTGCCCCGCGGCGGGGCCAGAGGCCTGCACACACGCCCCTACGGGGACCCGGGCGACAGCAAGGCCACGGCTCCGGGAACCCTCCGCCCGACCCCCGCCTCACTCCCACGGCCGGGCGAGAATCGAAGCACAACACAGCCGCCAGGCTGCCCCAAACCCCCGGACCTTGGCATTTCCTGCCCCGTTTCCCAGACAAACGGAGCTTCACAGCAGCGGCCCCTTGCTAGTGAGCGGGACCCGGAGGCTGGAAGGGGCGTGGCTGTCCGACACGCTCTCCCCCACGCCACGACGGCAGGAAGAGCCATAAAGCTCGAGCGACAGGGATAGAAATACCTGGGGCTGCGGCTTCAGTGAGCGAGAAAACAGGGCAGGCCGGGGGCAGAGAAAGCACGACCAGGAGAGCACGGCCGAGAGCGCAGTCAGACGCCGCCGGGGGGCGGGAGGAGACGCCGGAAGTCGGGCGGAGACGCCGGAAGTCGGGCGGAGGCGCCGGAAGTCGGGCGGAGACGCCGGAAGTTGGGCGGAGACGCCGGACAGTCGGGCCGCGGCCTCCGGGCTCCTGTGGGAAGCTGGTCGCCAGTGCCGCGGTTCTTCGCAGACGCAGCCGGTTTTGGGGTTCGGGCTGCGCGGCGGCCACGGGGTGTTCCGAGGAGCTCCCGAACACGTCTGCGGGCAACAATGTCGCACCCGTCACCCCAGGCAAAGCCGTCCAACCCCAGTAACCCCCGAGTCTTCTTGGACGTGGACGTCGGAGGGGAGCGAGGTGAGGAGGCGGGGCTCCCGGGGTCGGGGTCCCAGAGGCTGGGGCGGGCCCGCGACCTTGTACCGGTGCCCTGGGGCGTGCGGAAGTTTCTGGAGGTTTCTGTTCGGGGGTGGTGGCGGCCTTTGGGTCTGTCTCGCCCGACTTGGCCGCCCTTCCCTGCCACCTGCTTTTATGTTTGGGGGACATTCAGAAAACCCCGGATATGCGTCTCGGGGGCTCCCGTCGCCTAAAAGTTCCGGATTTTTGTTTTATTTGGTGGACAAAACTGAGGACGTTAAGGCCGGGGTGCAGCCTGGCAGATAGCTCTGAGGACTGCTCTGAAGGGCTAAGGGAGGAGCCGGGATATATAGGAGTTTTTGCAACAAAAACCAGGTCGTGGGAACATCAAAAGATGACCGTTAACAGAGGAAACCAGGCATGTCAAGTTAAGGGACGTAGCGCTTTTCTGTGTATAAGGAGATGCAAGAGTCCGGGCTCACTGAAACCCTTCCTTGGACGTGCACCTCGGCTGCCGGGGCCAGCGTCCTGTGCTTTCTCACCCTGAGTCTCCTTAGGGGGCACCTTTGGGCTGGCTGCAGCGGCTGAGGGCTCGGTGGGCTTGGCACTGGGCAGCCCGTTTGTCTTTATGCTGAGCTCCCGCAGGGCTCACTGTGCAGGCGGCTGTAATGAGAGGGCTCGATGGCTGCAACATCCTTTGCTTACTGGTGGGGCAGGTGATCCTCTTCCATTGACCGCGCGCGCATACACACCCCCCCGCAACACACAGACTTATATGTATCAGTACTTTGATTTTGTTTTGAAATTTAGTGCCAGGTTTATCTTTTACCTGCCTTAGGAATTGTCTAGAATGTGAACTTTTTAGCTTTTGCTTCAGAGGCAGCACTGGGCAGGTTCCACAGAGCACAAAGACTACAGCTGTACCTACAGCATGGCCGACGTGACCCCTCAGGATGTTTCATTTTCTCCTGTTGGTTACTTGGTGATGGGAAGTTATGAGCACATGTCAGAGAAATTAATCAAATGAAAACCATTCCTAGTTCATGGTGTCCTTAAATGGTGCTACTCTTCTGGCTGCTGTGTTGATGATCTTTTGTAAGATGTAGTAAAATAATTGTTTCAAATTCATCTAGATACATGATACTTAACATGAGGTAGACTGAATTTGAATATTAGAAAACTGACCAAAAAAGAGAACTCGGTATTTCAGTCACCATAAAATTACCAACTCTCCTTTTACCATTTGCTTATTTAGCTGGTTGTTCTGCATACTGACACAGTTTCATTTTTTCTTTCAGTTGGTCGAATTGTCTTGGAATTGTTTGCAGATATTGTACCCAAAACTGCAGAAAATTTTCGTGCATTGTGTACAGGAGAAAAAGGCATTGGACCCACCACTGGGAAACCTCTACATTTCAAAGGATGTCCTTTCCATAGAAGTACGATGCGTTTTCTGAATCTGGTTTTCCTTATAGGTGATTGAATCCTGTTCTTTAGGAGTTAGGGAAGAAAACACTAAGTAGAGGGTGAGAGTTAACAATTACATATATTGGATTATTATCCAGCCATAAAAAGTAATGAAGTACTGATACATGGTACCATGGGGACAAACCTCGAAAATATTATGCTAAGTGATAAAAGCAAGACACAAAAACAAAAGGTCACTTGTTGTTTAACTTCATTTATATGAAATATCCAGAACAGATAAATCCATAGACACAGAAAGCAGATTGGTGGTTGCCAGGGGCTAGGGGTAGAGGGATGGGGAGTGACTGCTTTTAATTTGTACAAGGTTTCATTTTGGGGTGATGAAAAGAACTTGAAACTAGACAGAGGTGATAATTGCCAATACTGTGAATGTACTAAATGTCACTGAATTGTACACTTTAAAATGGTTAGTGGTTAATTTTATGCTATGTAAATTTTACCTCAATTAAAAAAAATCCTCCAAACTGTATGAACCAAAAAAAAAAAAAATTACTGTTAGTTTCCAAAAGGATGCTTTGAGATCTGAGATGATAGCTCAGTTTCATAAAGGTTGGTCTGTGGAAGGTGGAATTAATTATGGGAGGGTACTAAGGTTTATTTATACAGAAATGGACTATCCTAGCTTCACCAGGGTGTGGCCATGGTAAACAGACAGAGCTTGGGTAGCTTGACTACCTGGTGACAGAAAGTTATGCCTACTTCTTGGGCAGGATTGCTTGGGAAGACTGCAGCCAACTTAAAGATTCTGTGTCTTGGACACCTGGTGTGATGTGTGATCAAAAGGTGACTTTTCACACTGTGTAGTCACACCTTTGTTCAGTGATTATTTGATGGCTCCCCCAATAGACTGTAGGCTCCATGAGTTCAGAAACTGTATCTTCTCACCATTTTGTCCTTAGCATCCAGCATAGTTATTGAGTAGGCCCGCAATAAATATTTGTTCAATGAATAAACAAATGAGTTAAACTATAATTATGAGTATTTAAATTCTTCTAAAACTTGATTAAGAAAAAATTAACAGTGATTTTTTTTTAAAAGAAGATGTTGGGGGTAGGAGTTTATTAATTTCTTTTATTTATTTTTGTTGTTTTGGGTCTTCGTTTCTGTGTGAGGGCTTTCTCTAGTTGTGGCAAGTGAGGGCCACTCTTCATCGCAGTGTGCGGGCCTCTCCCTGTCGCGGCCTCTCTTTTTGCGGAGCACAGGCTCCAGACGCACAGGCTCAGTAGTTGTGGCCCACGGGCCTAGTTGCTCCACGGCATGTGGGATCCTCCCAGACCAGGGCTCAAACCCGTGTCCCCTGCATTAGCAGGCAGATTCTCAACCACTGTGCCACCAGGGAAGCCCCTAACAGTGATTTTAAAATACTTAAACTGTTGATTTATTTTCACGTTTAATAAACTACCAAAATATAAGCAAACCATGGAGATATTGCAGGTTCAGTTCCAGTCCACTGCAATAAAGCGAATATTGCAGTAAAGCAAGTCACACAAATTTTTGGTTCCCCAGTGCATATAAAAGTTATGTTTATACTGTAGTCTATTGTGTGTAATAACATTATGTCTGAAAAAATAGTATGTACCTTAATCTAAAAATACTTTATTGCTAAAAAATGCCCAAACAATTATAGTAGTAACATCAAAGATTACTCATCACAGATCACCATAACAAATAATAATGAAAGTTTGAAATATTGCAAGAATTACCAAATTTGACACAGAGATATGAAATGAGCAAATGCTTTTGAAAAAAAAATGGCACTGATAGACTTGCTCTATGCAGGATTGCCACAAGCCTTGCAAGTTGTAAAGAAAAAAAAACCACAGTATCTGCAAAGCGCAATAAATGGAGGAGTGCCTGTGTGCTAATAAAGGGTGTGCAGAAAAGAGTTAACGTATCAGGCCTGAGGCTGCTGGCCTTAGAAGAGTCTACTTGCAAGGGTGGCCACTGCCTGGAGTCAGGGAGCGTGGCACTTGAACCTCTCTCTGAATCCTGGAGGTGATTTACTCTGCCTCGACTCTTTGTGCAATCTGATTTATGCTGGACAGTGCTCTCCTTTGGGAGTCTGGAAGTTTGCTTCCTGCTGGGCAGACAGTGCCTGCAGGATCAGCCCCAGCAGAGACCTCGGGTGCTGAGTCTCTACAGGGCTCTCCTGGGGAGAAACACTGTGCACATGTTGCTGCATTTCTTTGCTGGGGAGAGGAGGAATGTGCCCTGTGACCGTTCATGGGAGCGAGGGAGCATAAGGGAACACCTGGATTCCTCCAGGCTCTGCCCGTATCTTCTCTTCCTGTCATCCAGCTGTGTCTTCTTACTTACTACATCCGTGTAATACAAACAGATACCGAGTTCTGTGAGTCCTGGGAAATCTCTGAGCATGCGGCAGTGTTCTTGGGAACCCTTGCTACTAAGTGATAATATTTGCTGAAGTACTTGCATTACAGTGTAACAAACCTCTTGGGAATAATTGGTTATTCAGTAGCATTTTTGAGTAACCATTATGTGCCCAGCCATGCACATGGTTACCAAGGAGGAAAAAAGGAGTTGCTGTACGTAGTTGTTTGCCGGGAGAGACAGATCATTATGATACATATGATAAAAGGGAGGTAGAATCAAGATGCTGTTGGAGAAGAATAAGGAGTTCCAGTTTTGGGGCCTGACAGTTCTGTAGGGGAGGTGCCACGCGGACTGTTCTTTGAGTGTTAGTGGGCCATCAGGGAGTGGGAGTAGCTGGGACTCAGACTGGGAAAAGCCTTTTAAGAGTTTGCAGTTGTGGACGGGGGCGGGGAAGGACAGGAGAGAAGTTGTCCTCATTACGACATATCCGTTAGTCAGCATTGCTGCCGTCATCTGTAGCTTCTAATGGCGATTTTCCTTTTTTGTAGTTATTAAGAAATTTATGATTCAGGGTGGAGACTTCTCAAATCAGAATGGGACAGGTGGAGAAAGTATTTATGGTGAAAAATTTGAAGATGAAAATTTCCATTATAAGGTAAAGTAGACAAAAATGCGTGTTTCTGATAATAAAAGTTATGTGCCTGGGATACTTGTTGAATTAGGATAAATGCCTCAGATGTGCTCA